CGAACGACCAACGAAATGAAAATCCTACTCTCGTGACGCAAATTCTACTCTACATTGCAAGGTGATCTATAATTTCTTAAATAAAAATATTAAAAGTACAATGTAGTGTAGAATTTGCGTCACGAGAGTAGGATTTTCATTTCGTTGGTCGTTCGGAATCCTATTTGTCCTTGTTTCTGTTACTTTTTCACAAATTTGCTCTAGAATCCTACTTCATCTTGTTTTTTTTAAATTTTTTATCCACATAAACTCACTCTATTTTTTAATTATTTAGAAACAAGGATAAAAAATTAAGACGAAAGACAGAGGGAGTAAGGTCAGTATTCCTTAATTTGATTTTATACTGTAACATATGTATAGTCAGTTAATAGAATGGATTAGCTTTATTGTGTACATTTTTGGGATTTTTAAATATGTTGTATAATGAATTATTTTCACTTTTTGTGATCAGCTATGATCAAGCATAAATTACTTGTTTCTTTTATTCTACATGTACTAATACATGTATTTATTAATCTTGTACTTGTAGTAAACCACATAATTACTAATATTATATTTGTTTCTTGCTGTAGGTTGACAAAGAAGAGGGAATTTAAATCACAACTGACTGAAATTAGTTTCATGTTTATGTTATTAAAAACTAATTTTTCTAATTAAAAAAAATATAATGTTATGCTCTTAAATTTAGTGGCTATAATAAAGACGTAATAATAATAAAACAATCCATCTTGTATGTCTGCTTCACTCTCATTAATCATAATTAAACTTGTATGGTTAATTAATGTGTCCACACCTAGTTTTAGTAGTTTAGAATGGCTTCAAACTTAGAGGCTGGAGAGAAGGTGAACAAATACTTATTTCCTGTGTAGGATTGTTGTTTGTTACAGATTGAACCATTTTTTACAATTACAAGGATTTATAGCAGTCAAGATGGCGAGTCACATTTTGGAACTGTGAAAATAAAGATGAAAGGAAAAGGTCAGTATAGATCTACAATAATTACAAAGGCAAAATGTGCTAAACAGCTACTTCATGACCTGAAGTTTATACATACTACTTTTAAAGTAACTTGATAATTTAATTTTGATTGGAATCAGCTCATATTTTCTACACAACATAAAAAACATGTATATACCGTATAGCAAGAAATTTTCATTGCCAGAAACTTTTGTTGTCTTTTTAAGCTGGCTTAGCCGTTTTACAAGATATTTTTGTTGATTTATTTTTGTTTTGCCTAACATAAATTTTCACTGCCATGTCCACTTAATTAGTGCCACGTGTATGGTTTAAGATGAATGTCTTTGGTATATATGGTTACCACATTTATTAAGACATTCTGAACCCATCAGTTTGAGAATAACTGCCTTTTGTGTCAAGCCTGATGATGCCACAGATTGCTATGCCGTGGCTATAGTGAAAAGAGGATTTGTTGTGGGTCAAAAATTTTAGTTAGATTAAATTTTGTCTAAAAGTTTTGTTCAAAATTTTGGCCAATGAAACAAACAAAAATTAGCACTAAATGAAAATTTTTTGCTATATGGTATATACATCAAAGCATTGTAAAAATGGAGATTTTTCTTGTAGTCATTTTTGATGGAGAACCCTGTACTACCGTATAGCGGGAAATTTTTGGAGAGACTACAATTTGATGATTGGCAAATTTTAATTTGGCAAATTTGTGGCTATGTGCCATTGAGCATGCGTATAATGGTTCATAATGGTGGTTTTTATTTTGGCGAATGGCTATCGAAACACTAAATTCACCAAATTTAATTCCCTCCAAAATTTCCCACTATATGGTCATAGATATACGACTGTTAGAGGGATTGGAGACTGGTCACGTGAGCGCATTACTACTACACTCACCATCCGCGTTTGTGTTAAGTATATTCATAGTCACGCCTTTTCTTTGACCTTGTGCTATTTCAATGGAGGAAGAGCAGAACCAACAGTACATTTTTGTGGGACTATTGTATTAGTTTGGAAGCTTAATACAGACAGGTAAGGTATTGAGCAGTTAGGTAAAGGTTTAAAGTAGTTGACTGGGTCCTTTATAAGTGCCTACAGATGTAGATACTGCAACAGTAGAGCCTAAAGGGTATTTTCCACTTGTTGACTTTGTGGGACTGAACCAGCTTACTAGAATCATGAATGGTTGTAAGACTTTCATTAATGGAGAGTTACTATGATGAAATATTTGGCAATGTCAGTTTTAAGTTGATGTAATATTTATTTTGGTATTTATAGTAGACCTGGCAATATATAGGGGGCTTTAATGTGCTTAAAAAATATAAATAA